GGCTTCTTTGATTTTCATAAGTATCTTTCAGGAGTCTTCTTTTTTTAAGTTGAAAGCTTTCCATTTTTTATTGTAAAATTTCTTAACTGCTCTGTTTTTTCATTAAATACTACCTGTCCTCCAAAGAAATCAAAGTGCTATAACAAACTTTTTAGCCAAACCCTACAATGACCCACCTTTGGATGAAACAAATCTTTGGAGTCATTTGATCGTTTTTTTGTAAAACAGACTTAATGATTTCTGTCTTGCCAAGCCTTTTTTTCAGTGGTCTTAATTATTATTACTGGTCACTCTACAGCCATTCAGATCTAAAGCACTGCTGCATTTTTACAGTTTTAGCACTTACCTTGGGCTTTGTCATTTTTTGTAGTTGTTTAGTTGCTAAGTCGTGTCCAACTCTTAGTGACCCCATGGTCTATAGCCTACCAGGCTCCTCTCCATGGGATTTTCCAGGCAAGAACACTGGAGTAGTTTTGCCATTTTATTTACCCTGAAAATTTTACATTATCCCACATGATAACATTGCTCTGTGATGACCAAAATCCTCAAGACTTTTACCTTTATTGAGGACCTAATTAAAAATCACCTTTATCCAAGTATGATTCCAAACCATAAACATTTAGTTTATTTCATTCAGAAGGATATCTTCCAAGTAGTAGATTGCGCTTACCATTTAATCACCTATTTCAAGAGAATTAATATGACATAGTTGTAAAATTAGACTAAAATAAAAAGCCAGCTGAACACATGTATTAAAATGGGTAATTCTTATCAGATTTCCTGACTTTGGAAATACAGTTACTTACTAAAAATATGCTCCCCTTTCTCATGTCACATACAGGATTTAGAAAGTACATTCTGTAAGAATAATGGCTTTATTTTATTTATATTAATGAATATTCTCCCTCAAAAAATTTTTTTTCTACATTTTTTCTTGTCTTCCTTCTTCTTTCAGTTACTCACTACTTAATCCTTTCTACCTGACATCATCTTTTCCATCTTTGAGATATACAGGACTAAAGGTGGAGTAAGTCTAGAGCCAAGGAAAATCTTAGAATGAGATATAGTCATGCAACAGACTGAATTTAGGTGGTGGGTTCATTAGTCTTTATTTTATTACACTGTTGTTCTTATTCTTCCTTTGAAATGTTTCATTTAAAAAGTGGATGATTAAAAATAAGATGCAGGCATAAGGACATGAAGTCATATTGGACAACTGTAAATTGATAATATGGATCATATTAGCTGAGGGCCGTAGATGAAAGTAGCTATAGCATTTTAAATTCTTTTGGTGTTGCAATTCCTGTTTATATCAGCGGAAAAAGTGCACGTGTTAGCCATTTAGTCATGTTCTACTCTTTGTGACCCCATGGACTGTAGCCCACCAGGCTCCTCTGTCCATGGGATTTCCTAGGTAAGAATACTAGAGTGGGTTGCCATTTCCTCCTTCCCAACCCAGGTATTGAACCTAGGTCTCCTGCATTGCAGGCAGATTTTTTACCGTCTGAGCCACCAGGGAAGCCCTTAAATCAGCAGAGACTAAAATAAGTATTTTTGTAACAAATCCAAGAAAGCTAATTTGTGACTCCTTTGCATAGATCTCCATACATTCTGTTTCATTATTTCTCATGTTCAAAGTGCCGTAATTTAAGGTAGAAAACGTGTCATCTATTGTTGTGACTCTTGAGCATCCAGTTCACTCAGTCTTTCATTTAAGTGTCCTTATCTAGGAAATAGGAATAAAAATGGCATCACCGACTCAATGAACATGAGTTTGAGCAAGCTCCAGGAGATTATGAAGGACAGGGAAGCCTGGAGTGCCTCAGTCCTTGGGGTCGCAGAGAATCGTACACGACTGAGGGACAACAACAACAGTTATGCACGGTTGTTGTGATAATTACGTGTAAAGGGCTTAGAACAATTCCTAGCTCATTGTAAGCCTTTCTCTCTCTACTACCACTCCTCCAGTAGAGAAGCTCTACAGAAAATTGAGTAGCTATTTTCTCAATTGTTCTAAGGATGATACAAAGCTAGTACCATTTTAGATGCATAGGAGGTAAGTTAGATCATTACATACAAGGATACTTTAGGCATTAGGGCTTAATTCCTGTGATAAGTAACATGAGTTTGTATGCTCAGTCATGTCCAACTCTGCAGCCCCGTGGACTGTATGTAGGCCCACAGACTCTTCTGTCTATGGAATTTTCCAGGCAAGAATACTGGAGTGGCTTGCCATTTCCTTCTCAAGGGCATCTTCCTGACCCAGGGATTGAACCTGTGTCTCCTCCATTGCAGGCAGATTCTTCACCCACTGAGTCACTGCCGAAGCCTGTGGGGGAACCTCAATTGTGAAGGCCTAATAAGTGCTCCAGATACGTTAGCTTTTATTTTTTTGGTTGCAAGTGACAAATCCACATTCAAACTGGTTTAAATAATCAAGAGATTTTATTGGTTTATATAAATAAAAAATCAGTAAGGAAGGCTTCAGAGATGGTTTGATTAGGATTTTGTTTTGGTATCCTTGCTGTTCTATTGGCTCTGCTATCATTTCTCTGGGCATCGTATTAATATTTCTAACTAAATTTTCAAAAGAATTTTTATCTTAAATATGGGAATATGGCTAAAAACCATAAGGTGTCTTTTGTATGTATTTTGAAGGCCCTGCATGTTTGAAATATAGTCATTGTTAAATTAATTCTTTTTTTACATTATATGTGATATCCATGTGTTTAAATGTATAAGAAAAGTTTTAAAGCCTATGGAGTAGGGAATGGCAATCCACTCCCGTAGTCTTGCCTGGAGAATTCTGTGAACAGAGGAGCCTGGTGGGCTACAGTCCATGGGGTCACAAAGAGCAGACACAACCAAGTGTTAACACTGACTAGACAGAAACAGTAGTTGTTCTTTTGTTGTTGTTTAGTCACTAAGTCATTTCCAACTCTTTTGTGACCCTATGGACTGTAGCCTGCCAGGCTCCTCTTGCCAGGAAATTTCCATGGAATTTCTCAGGCAAGAATCCTGGAGTGGGTTGCCATTTTCTTCTCCAGGGTATCTCCCCGATCCAGGGATCAAACCCACATCTCCTGCATTGCAGGTGGCTTCTTACCACTGAGCCACCAGGGAAGCTCAATTGGTTTTTCACCTCTGTACAAATACTAGTCACATCAAACTGCTTCAGCAGGCCACATTCCAATGGAAGGTTTTTAAGTCAAATTGCCATAAGAAGAAAAGGGAAGGATCATATAGGAATAACTTGATGAAAGGCTTGCAGAACAGACTAAAGGGTACATAAGGATGAAATGAAGGTGGCAGGAATAGAGTAACGCAGAAGAGCAGTCTTTTTTTTTTTTTTTTTAAGTTTAGAAGAGCAATCTTGTTGGGGTGGTTGCCATTACTCCACAGAGGAGCTGCCCATCCTGTTGCCGAGGCAGTTCTGGCTAGTTCTTCTTTTTATCAAGTATGTTAGGGGAGGGCATGTGGAAGCAAAGTAGAGGCTGCATGTGGTTGCAGTCAGAGTTCCAAACCAGATTATGTCCAAATGGACTTCCTGTGAGTGGAAAGACATTTTCCACATTGGAAAATGCTCTTCACTATAACTGATCATATTCAAGGTAATTGTATAGGACCTAAGGCACCTTTTAAAACTTACTTTTAAGTAACTGATAAATGTTTAGATGCCACTAAGATAACTTTTACAGGAACTCCAGAATTCTCTCAAATCACAATGTATTATCCTTCTGCTGCATGCTGATATTGAATGATCGTCAAGTACTATTCTTGAGATAATAGCAAGTGTAGAACAGCTTGTATGGTGTCTATAGTATGAGTAAAAATATGTGGGTATACATGTGAGTTTATACATGTGTGTATACATGTGAGTTTACACATGTCTGTACAAAATACTATGGGAAGACTACATGAAAAAAACTGTTAACAGTGGTTGTCTCCATGAAAAGAAACTGAGCGGTGACTACTGAAGGTAAATTGGTACTTTTCTGGCATCAGGAGTTGCTCAGTAGTTTTCAGTAGATGTCTCTGGATCAGAGCTTCTTAACATTTTAAACATCAAACATGGCCTCCTAAACAAATAATCTGAAGACACCAAAAACAATCCTGTTTTTTTTCCTTTACCTTAAAAGTTCATATTTGTTTTCAGGTGGTGTAAGAAAAAGGCAGTTCCTCCTCTTTACAGTCTGTCTCCCTGGAAAATGATTCCAGCATGATTCTGTAACTAGTTCTCAGGATTGGAGCACCTTTTAATCACATTCCTGAGCTAATTAAACAGAAACTATTCAGAGCCATCTTCCCCTTGTAAGAGGGTTTTGAAGAACCTTTTCTCTTTTTTTTTCCCTTTCTGTTCCCCAGCAAAAGCAACTTCCTAGTGTAATTGTAGGAGGCTTACCACCTTCCCAATTAAGCATTGAATCTCTTATGGAATGGATAGGAAAGCATTTACCCTCAAAATGACTAAATAAATGGCTTTCAAATTCTAGGGTAATTTTTTTCACTAGTAGACCCTTTTCAATTATTGATTTCTAAGAGTCTCTCAAAAGATACAGTTTATAAATTGTGTTAATTATATTAATACAGTTAGTTAAAGTTAAGTCGCTCAGTCGTGTCCCACGCTTTGCAACCCTGTAGACTGTAGCCCACCAGGCTCCTCCGTCCATGGGGTTCTCCAGACAAGAATTCTGGAGTGGGTTGCCATTTCCTTCTCCAGGGGATCTTCCCGACCCAGGGATAGAACCCAGGTCTCCCACATTGCAGGCAGACGCTTTAACCTCTGAGCCACCAGGAAAGCCCGTTAATACAGTTAATCAGCATTATTTAGAAATAGTATAGTTTACTATTAATTTTACAGAAATAGCTTGAGAATATATTTGTTCAGAATTTAGCCAGTTAAAGGATATGCCTTTATGCTGTCCTGTATCTTCAAATACTTAAGTACATGCTATGAAAATTGTCTCTTGATTTTACTTTGTTATATTGTCACAAAACAGAAAGAAGAAGGAAAGCTTCAAGGGCAGCTTAACAAGTCTGATTCTAACCAGTACATTAGGGAACTGAAAGATCAGATAGCAGAGCTGAACCATGAGGTAAGTGATAAATTTTGATCTTCACATATTTCTTTCTTCCTTCCTCTGTATTGTGACAACACTTTATTATTGCTTATGAGTGACTCTTTCATGGTAAATATTTTTTGTGAATCTTTGATTATTATTAATAATAATATTTTAGAAGATTATCTTCTGTTTAACACACATTTTTCTGTTCTAGTATTGAGGATTTGATTTCCTTAATCATATCTGAAATGATCAATTAATGTTTGTATGGCAAATATTTTATTTTTTTATTGAGATCTGAAAACACTTGATAGTTTGCCTGGGTTTCAAAGTTACTTCAATTAAACTAAAATTTTCTTTTTATCTTTATAGTAGATTTGTGGTATTACCGTTGTGACTAAAGGGAAGTCTTTTTTACTTTTGTCTTCTTTTTCACTTCATAGCAGTATTACTGAGATTGCAAAAAAGGATACTTGCCTAATATCAGTTAACAGATTTCTTAGTATCTGAATACTTTTTAAACTGGCACGAACTTGAATCTGTGAGAGTCAACTCATGAAATTTTCAAGTAGTTTTTACTAGATAGTTTTATTATACTAGGTAATTTAAATTATTTAAAATAATGTATTTTGACTAGAGAAACACTTTTTAATTAATGTGATTCTAGGTAAGTTTCCTTGGGTTTTTTCTAATGATAACTATCTGACTAAACATAAATGGAAAAGTATGCTACTTATATTGAACTATTTGTACAATAATGTTTATTCACAGTCATTTGAAGGGGTAACATAAACCTCGCTTCTTAAGAAAGAAACTCATTTTCTTCACTAAATTAATTTAACCTCAAAGGAAAAAGTTTGGACATTACCCTTTCCTGGTATTACACTCTTCAGTTAAAGTCTGTGTTTTGGGTAATACCTCCTGGAGGCAGTCAATCTAAGTAAATTCTGAATGAAAAGAAAAGCCAACAAAAATGATAAATCTTAGATGTGGTTTAATTTAATTTGCCTCAAAGTTTTGTAGGTCTTTCCTATAAATACTGATTTTTCAGCTGTGGTAGCATTTGAGGGATCCAAGGTCATGTTTATCTTATTTATGTGAATTTTTTATAATCTGATATAATAGTCATACATGAAAGAACAAGTTACAAATAAGCATGTTCTAGAGATTCTTATTGATAATCCTAGGGATTATTCCTTAGGTTCAAAAGATTTTCTCAAAGGAAATTATGGCTAAAATAAGTCAACCTCTCATTTATAATTTTGAAATCTAGTGATAAGGGAACATACCTTAACTAAAAATAATGATACTCTCGCCTCATCAGGAATGGCAGAAAATAGTTAACTTGAGGTTTAACTTTAATGTCAGATTTTTAGGTGTGGCTTGTGAAAACAATCTTTAATTTTAGAATAGTTTGTAATACGATGCTAATTGGGTGATTGAGAATAGGCCAGAGTCCTGGGCTTAAACAAGTCCCAGTTAGAAAACAGTAGAGAGGAGAATGACTATAGTTGGGGACCACACTCCCAACCCACTCCAGTATTCTTGCCTGGGAAATCCCATGGACAGAGGAGGCTGGCAGGCTATGGTCCATGGGTCGCAAAGAGTGAGACACAGCTTAGCACCTGAGCAGCAGCAGCAGCAGGAGACCACAGAGGCAGACAGAGGTGAGAGTGAGTATAGGGTTGGGAGTTTAGAGGAGGCCAGGTTTGATTAAGTAATGTGACTGGATTGTGGAAATAAAGTTAGATTGAATAGAATCAGTTTATGGTGAATCTTCAAAGCTAGAAGAGATTAAGTTTGCTAGATATTGTGAAACCACTATAGGTCTTTAGTTGGAGACTTATTTTCATTATGTTTTATTCACCTGTTCAAAGTTTTATAACTAAAGAAAGGATAAGGGAAAACAGGTGAAAGTTTAAACTAAGATACTGGCTCAAAAATTACTATTTGTTGGCCAGCTTCTTGAGAGATTTAAACAAGTTTCACCTTTTTATTCTAGTGATTTTGTTTTTTTTTTTCTTCATTCTTGTGTATAGCACTTCACAGTAGGGGGAAAAAATAGATAAACTAAAGTCAGTCTAATTGCTCCAACTTAACTTTTGTTTGTGTTCTAGAATTTGCTAGAATCTTTGACTTTCAACATAAGAATTGACTTTTAAGTATTAATGTTGTATTTGAGCATGTGACTGTTAATAGTTACTGTGTTAGCTGATTTTTGTACTTCTCTAAATGTTGAAGGAAATATTGAAACAGCTTTGCAGATTCATCTTCCTGAATACAGCAATGTTGTGCATGTTATAACAGCTATGACCACTTAGCATAGTTAGCTGTATGAAATGGTAAAGAGGATTAAACAAGTTATTTTTCATGAATGGCTGAATATATTGTTAATCTATAAAGTAGCAATAATATATACTGTTTATTGGTCTGTCACTCAAGCATGGTGTCGGACACTTCATATTTATTATTACTAATCTTCTTAATAATCCCATGTGATGGTAATATCCTCAGTTGAATAGATGTGGAAACAGACTCAGAATGATTAAGTAACTTTTCCCAAGATGATACAAATAGTAAACGATTGAGTCAGGATTTAATCCAGAATGGCTTATCTTTTCTGTGCTACTTACAGAGCGTTTAGATTAGAAAGCAATGTTTAAAATCTTAATATTAATTAATGACCATATTTTTACTGTGTTGCCCTCCTTGACACATGAATTTGCATATATCCTGTAAGTAAATTCTGCAGTTGACTTAGTCACAAGAGCTCCCTATCTCTGTCACTATTGCAAATAGAGATCTATATTCACGTTCTGCAGCTTACTATCATCCATCCACACACCGTCTCTGACTTCCAACCCCTGTGATTCTTACCCTTACCACCTAACTAATTTTGCTCCTAATATTACCTACCTACCATAGAAATCTTTTAATTTGAAGCCTCTTACCCTGCCAAGAGCTTCACAGAAGCCACCGTGGAAGCTTTTGCTGCCCCAGACCTGGAAGGGGCTGTGATTAAATCCTCTCCTAACCCTATGTTCTGTCCTCATGGCATAGAAAATACCCAAGTTCCCAATTTAAGTGCTTTCCTTTCCCTATCTTCCCGCCTTCTGCCCTTTCATCCATCTATCATCACAGCACCTACTCTGTACTAGGCACTGGGCTTAGAATTGAATATAAAGGAGATTGAAATACAATTCATAGCCTCAAGGGACTCACAATCTAACAAAGCAGATTGTTGTTGTTCAGTTGTTCAATCCTGTCTGACTCTTTGCAACCCGGTGGACTGTAGCATGCCAGGCTTCTCTGTCCTTTACTGTCTCCTTCATTGTTTGCTCAAACTCATGTCCTTTGAGTTGGTGATGCCATTTAACCATCTCATCCTCTGTCACCCCCTTCTCCTCCTGCTCTCAATCTTTCCCAGCATCAGGGTCTTTTCCAATGAGTCAGTTCTTTGCATCAGATGGCTAAGGTATTGGAGCTGTAGCATCAGTCCGTTCAATGAATATTCAGGACTGATTTTCTCTAGGATTGACTGGTTTGATCTCCTTGCAGTCCAAGAGACTCTCAGGAGTCTTCTCCAGCATCGTAGTTCGAAAGCATCAATTCTGCTGCTATCAGCTTTCTTTATGGTCCAACTCTGACATCCATACATGACTACTGGTAAAACCATAGCTTTGACTAGACGGACCTTTGTTGGCAACGTGATGTCTCTGCTTTTTAATATGCTGTCTGGGTTTGACATAGCTTTTTTCCAAGGAGCAAGCCTATTTTAATTTCATGGCTGCAGTCACTGTCCACAGTGATTTTGGAGCCCAAGAAAATAAAGTCTGTCACTGTTTCCATTTTTTCCCCATCTATTTGCCATGGAGTGATGAGACCAGATGCCACTCTCTTAGTTTTTGGAATTCTTTAGCCTTCATCATGAGACTCTTTAGTTCCTCTTCACTTTCTGCCATTAGGGTGGTGTCATCTGCATATCTGAGGTTATTGATATTTTTCCCACCAGCTTGTGCTTCATCCAGCCCAGCATTTCTCATGATGCACTCTGCATATAAGTTAAATAAGCAGGGTGACAACATACAGCCTTGACGTACTCCTTTCCCGATTTGGAACCAGTCCGTTGTTCCATGTCAGGTTCTAACTGTTACTTCTTGACCTATGTACAGGTTTCTCAGGAGGCAGATAAGGTGGTCTGGTATTCCCACCTCTTGAAGAATTTTCCACAGTTTGTTGTGATCCACACAGTCAAAGGCTTTAGCATAGTCAATGAAGCAGAAGTAGATACTTTCCTGAAATTCTCTTGCTTTTTCTGTGATCCAGCAGATGTTGGCAATTTAATCTCTGGTTCCTCTGCTTTTTCTAAATCCAGCTTATACATCTGGAAGTTCTTGGTTCAAGTACTGTTGAAGCCTAACTTGAAGGGTTTTAAGCATTACCTTGTTAGCATGTGAAATGAACACAATTGTGCAGTACTTAGAACATTCTTTGGCATTGCCTTTCTTTGGGATTGGAATGAAAACTGACCTTATTCAGTCCTGTGACCACTGCTGAGTTTTCCAAATTTGCTCACATGTTGAGTGCAGCACATTAACAGCACCGTTTTTTTAGGATTTTAAATAGCTCAGCTAGAATTCGATCACCTCCACTAGTTTTATTGGTTGTAATGCTTCCTAAGGCCCACTTGAGTTTACACTCCAGGATGTCTGACTCTAGGTGAGTGATCACACCATCGTGGTTATCTGGGTCATTAAGACCTTTTTTGTACAGTTCTTCTGTGTATTCTAACCACCTCTTCTTAACCTCTTTCTTCTGTTAGGTCCTTACCATTTCTGTCCTTTATTGTGCCCATCTTTGCATGAAATGTTCCTTTGGTACTTCCAATTTTCTTCAGATCTAGTCTTTCCCATTCTGTTGTTTTCCTCTATTTTCTTTGCATTGTTCTCCTAAGAAGGCTTTCTTAACTCTCCTTGCTATTCTGTGGAACTCTTCATTCAAATGGGAATATCTTTCCTGTTCTCCTTTGCCTT